TCTGGTGGAGTGAACTATGTCTCATTTGCCAGGGACTTTCCTGGATTAGCACGGGAAGTCCGGGATTCCGAGACACCCTGGCAAAATGTGCCCCTCCTGTGCGTGTTAACCGGAAGGCAAAGGGTAAAGGGATGGGGTGTGTCACGGTGGGAAGTGTGCCTCACCTGTGTGGGTCTGTCTCCTGGGTACGGGTAAGGAGGTTTACTGTAGATCTGAGGGAAACCCAGCCAGGGGCGGCTGAAAGAGTCCAAGCCAGGAGAGGAGAATGAGAAGAGAGAGGGAGACAAAAAAGACTAAGTGCAAAGAGAGCAGAAAGAGGAGCCAAGAGGGGCGGGAAGCCCAGCTGGGGGTAGTGGTGGAGGGGTGCAGGGGAGGGGTGGGCGGGCGGTGCCCAGAGGAGCCAGCACTCCATAATTGGTACTTGCCTGGTTGTAGGCACCTCAGTGAGCCATCTGTCCTGAGTCTGAGACCCACCACTAATGTGACAGGTATCTAGTGGCATTTCATTATCCTCCTGTCCTTTGTCCTCTTCCCAACTGCCGGGGAAGTTGAACAATTTCTTTCTTGGTTGGGGATGTGGCTTACAGGTACTTTCTGTTGCTGTCTTTTCCACCTAACAGGATCTTTTGCAAAACTAGCACTTTTTTTTTTTTTCGAGACAGGGTTTCTCTGTATTGTTTTGGAGGCTGTCGGTCCAGCCCGGCCTCAAACTCACAGAGATCCGCCTGCCTCTGCCTCCCGAGTGCTGGGATGAAAGGCGTGTGCCACCACGGCCCCGGCAGCACTTTGTTTTGATGAGTCCGATTTATCAGCTTTACTGATAGCTTGTACTTTGGGGGTGATGTCTAAGAACTCTGTAACCCTAGATCGCAAGACTTTCTTTTTGTTGCCAGGAGTTTCACACTGCGTTTGCGTCCACAGCTGCGTTAATTTTGGATGAGATGTGTGGTTTGGGGTTGAGTGGTTTGGACAGTTGGTTGTTGTGGATTTGGTGCCTGTGGATGCCCAGCTGTGCCAGAGCAGCCTATTGTAAAGGCAGCCTTTGCTCTATTGAACTGCTTTGGTGCCTCTCAGAAGTGAGCTGAGAGCAAGACAGCTCAGCCTTTAATCCCAGCATGTGGGAGACAGGCAGGCAGATTTCTGTGAGCTGGAGGCCAGCCTACTGCACACGGTGACTTCCAGGCTAGCTAGGACCACATAGTGAGAGCCTGTCTCCAACAAACCAACCAACCAACCAGCAGCTGAGTGTGTTCCTGGGCCCCCTTCGGGGCTCTCCCATCCCATTGGTCTTCAAGTCTCCCTTTGCAGTCACACACACTGGGTCACTTTGACTTGGTAATGACTCTTGAAATGGGGAGACAGATTTCTCCCAAGCTTTTTTTTTTTTTCAAAGTTGTCTGAGTTATTCTGGTTCTTTTTCCTTTCCATAAAAAGTTTAGAATAATCTTATTCATAGCTAAACATTCTTGCTGGCGGCGTAGCACAGAACTAACCTCTTCACTAGGATGAACCTGCCAATCACGAGTATGGGGTGTCTCTGCGTATTCATAGCTTCTTGGATTCCTTTCATAAATATTTTATGGTTGTCAGCATAAGAGATCTGTATGTGGGTTATGGGTGGGACTCGGTTGCTTGCCTGTCATACACAGAGCCCTGAGTTTGATCCCCTGCGCCCTGTTAACTGGTTGTGGTCTCAGCACTCATGAGGCGGCGGCTGGAGGATCAGATATTGAGGTCTTCTTCAGTTACATGAGAGAGCGAAGACCAGCCTGAGCATAAAAACCCACAAACTGTACATTAATAGGTTGACCTAAGTACTTAATTTTGGTGTGTAATTACAAGCAATGTTATGTTTTATCATTTGGCATTCATGTGTTCTCATTGTTTAAATACAAAATTGATTATTGTGTTTTTACATACTGTGTTCTTCCCCTCCCTCCCTTCCTTCCTTCCTTTCTTATTTTTGAGACAGGGTTTCTCTTTGTAGCCCTGGCTGTCCTGGAACTCGCTCTGTAGACCAGGCTGTCCTGGAACTCACTCTATAGACCAGGCTGTCCTGGAACTCACTCTGTAGACCAGGCTGTCCTGGAACTCACTCTGTAGACCAGGCTGTCCTGGAACTCACTCTATAGACCAGGCTGTCCTGGAACTCACTCTGTAGACCAGGCTGTCCTGGAACTCACTCTGTAGACCAGGCTGTCCTGGAACTCTCTCTGTAGACCAGGCTGTCCTGGAACTCGCTCTGTAGACCAGGCTGTCCTGGAACTCACTCTGTAGACCAGGCTGGCCTCAATTCACAGAGATCCGCCTGCCTCTGCCTGTCCAGCCTTTCTCCATTAAGTATGTCAGCTGGGGCATTTTCTTCTATTCCTTTGTTAAATTGAGAAAATGCTCCTCTATTCTCATTTTGGGGGTTTATTTTTATTTTATTTTAGCTTTTGAGAGAATGTCTCAATATACAACCTTGGCTGGCTTGGAACTTACTCTGTAGACCAGATGGGCCTCGAACTCAGAGAGATCCGCCTGCCTCTGCCTCCCAGTGCTGGGATTAAAGACATGAGCCACCACATCCAGCTCTAAACGTTCTTTTAAAGCTCCTGAATGGGCCTTGCATTTTGTCCCACCCCGTTGCTGCATGAGCGCGCTCGTGTATAAGGTCATATGACTCTTCTTTACAGCTTGTGAATGTGGCGGATTGTCATGACCAAGGCAGCCCTTATAAAAGAAAGTGTTTAACCTGGAGCTTGCTTACAGTTTCAGAGGCTCAGCCCGTTGTCATTGTGGTGGGGGCGTGGCGGGGGCATGGCACTGGAGCAGTAGCCAAGAGCTACATGCTGATCTGTAGGCAGAGAGAGATCCTGGGCCTGGCATAGCCTTTTTCAATCCCCAGTGACACACGTCCTCCAACAAGGCCACACCTACTTCAACAAGGCCACAGCTATATGAGTCCATGGGACCATTCCTATTTAAAAACCACACCTGGCATCCATGGAACAATCCCCACAGGCAATGATGTATAATATGTCTTCATATTGCTGAATTTTATTTAGTAACATTTTATTAAGGATACTTGTGTACATATTTAAGAGGAATACTTTCCCATGGTTCTCTCCACCCGAGTACTAACCAGGCCCCGTCCTACAAGCCAGAGGAGACCAGGCTCAGGGAGCTATAGCCGTGATCTCTGTGCTGCCTCTGGCTTACAATCACAGCCATGCTAGTTAGATAAAATGAACTGGGAGTTCCCCTCCTCTTCTATTTTCTGAAAGAGAGTGTGTGGAGATTGGGCCAACTCCTCTTTCAACATTTGGTAAATTCTTCATGGAACCATCTGGAATTGGAGACGTCATTTCTGTGAATCTTTGAATTATAGATTCAGTTTCCTTAACAGTTATGGCTGTATTCATAGTGCACTACAGGATGGACTGTATTCTCCAAGGTTTGGGTGTGTTCTAAGCTATCCATCAAGCATGTGCTCTCAGAGAGTGTTTTAAAGTCCACTCCTTTATTTCTCCCCAGAGCCTGGCCACCCCCTCAAGGGGATGCCCCACAGACCCACAGATGGCTAAGTCTGGACCTCCAACCAGAACACCCTCCTGGATGCCCAGGCAGAAACTCGGGGGATGTCACAGAAGTGACAAGCCTTGGCTTCTTGGAAGTGTCCTAGGGCCAGGTAGGGTTTACATAAAAACCAGGACTCTGGTGCCACCACTAGGTGGCACTCAGGACATACGCTTGCCGCCTGCTGTTCAGCTGGAAGGGTCTGGGGACATTTTGTTGCTTGGGTGAGATGCCCTTTGAAACTAGAATCTGTAAACCCACCCTCCCCTGAGCTCTGAGCTTGTCCTTGATTTCCGCAGAGCAAGGAGGGACCCTGGAGAGATGTGCCGGGTGGAAGCCCGTGAGAAGCCAGCCGCGTGGAAGAGTGCTGTCCAGACAAGAGTCCCCACACTGAGCCTGAGGGTCAGGTGGCGGCAGCAGCCTGTGACATACGTTGTGCTGGGAAACTGTCACGTGCTGTTTGAGCTCTCTGAGATTGCACCCTGCCCCCTTTTCAGACCCAAGCCCGTTTGTCTTAGCCTGTCCGAAAGGCCCCCTGTCTAGCTAGGGATTGGCTGCCACCCCAACTCTGTAACAGGGAGGAAGGAGAATAGCAAAAGAGGCCAAGAGTAAAGACACTGTGTCCTCATTCTTAACAGCAGCTGGGGGGGGGTGTGTCTAAAGAGCATTGGCTGCTCTTGCAGAGGACCTGTATTCAATTCCCAGTACCCTTGTGATACTCATAACTCCTGTTTCAGGGGCTTGATCTCTTCCTGGCCTCTGCAGGCATCAAGCATGCACACGCATATAGTCATGCAGGCAAAGCATCGTGCATATAAAATAAAAATAATAAATAAATCTTAAAAACAGTTAAAAGGTAAACCATTCCCAAGAGATACCACTGATGTTTACTCCCTTACTATAAAAGCGTCCGCAGTGGGAAAGAGAAGCAAGAAGTTTAGCTATGAGAAATGCAGCTGTGGAGAGAAAACTCCAGCTAGCTACTGCCTCAACTTCCCCAGTGAGTTTCTGCTGTGTGCCTTGGGCAAGAAGCATGCCCAATCTTTGCTAGATTCTGGCTTGTGTTTAAATCCCACTTGGACTTTTTGCTGCCCTGTCAGCAGGGGGCACCATTCCTTCAGTCCTCCTCTAAGATAAAGGTAAGACTAGCCTCCTCCTCCATGGGGCTGTGGGACTCCCTCCAGGCAAGCAGAGCGTGGCTAGGCACTTGGTGGATGTTTGGGCGGCATGGTCACCACTTAGGTCCTTCACCTCCCAGGGAAGCCCACGTTTTCAGCACAAAAGCCCAGGCCACAGCCTCCCCAGCAGTGGGCTCAGTCACAGGTCCTGACCTCTAAAGAAAGGCATGGTGGTGAAGGCAGAGACACATAGTCAGCAGCCAGAGGGGCAGCCAGAGCAGAGTTCATGGCCTGCAGATCCTCAGGGAGTGACACGAACTGGGCCTTGGGTCCTATGTGTGTTCCCGCCTACCATTGTCTGCGCTCAGGCCCTGTAGAGTCATCAGATAGGTTGTTAATGATCACAGAAGGGGACTGATCTGGTTTCTGAAGAAAATCTGTTCTAGGATTAAGCCTTCCAACCATGGGTAAGGCTCATTTCGTGGGTGGTCTGTCCTGCTTGGGTGTGGCTGCAGTCTCTTGTCACAAAGACCTTTGACACCGGGCTCCAAGGTGACCCAAAGGGACAACTGAAGTAAGATAGAAAGTCAGGTAGAGAGCATGGGAAGAGATTCCTCACTCCGGAAACTGAACTCTCTCACCATCTGTGAGGGAAGAATTCCATCGTAGTTAGCAGCACAGGCTAAGATGTTGTCTACACACAGCATTGGCTTCACAGTGGTCCCAGACAAGAACATGAAAATGCTAGTGAGCATGCTCACGGAATGAGTGTCTGTCTGTGGCCTTTCTCTTCTCCATCTGTAAGCCTGCAATTCTTACAAACAGGGTTGCAACTTCAGCCATAGCAAAAGTGTGTCTTAGCTTATGTGTGCAACCCTTGTGACCCTCGGTTTTACCTAATCTCCTGCAGTCCCACTCAGTGTGCCCCAGGGAGCATCTGCAGTCCCACTCAGTGTGCCCCAGGGAGCATCTGCAGTCCCACTCAGTGTGCCCCAGGGACCATCTGCAGTCCCACTCAGTGTGCCCCAGGGACCATCTGCAGTCACACTCAGTGTGTCCCAGGGACCATCTGCAGTCACACTCAGTGTGTCTCAGGGACCATCTGCAGTCACACTCAGTGTGTCTCAGGGACCATTCTCTGATCTCATTTACTGGGAGAAGAAAGGGAGGAAAGGAAGAAGGAAGAGAAAGAAGGAAAAAGACTAACAATGTAGCTCAGCTGACAGGGAACTTACCCAGAATGCTGGAGGCCCTCAGCTGGATCCCCAGCGCCACATAAAACCAGTCACGGTGACCCACACCTGCAATCACAACGTTAGAGGGGAAGAGCCAGAAGTATCAAAGTTTGCTGTCATCTTCAGCTATAAATTGAGTTATTGGCCAGCCTGGGCTACATGCAACCCTGTCTATAAGTTAATAAATAGTGAGAGAAGGAGAGAGTTCTTTAGCAACCCTTTGAGACATGACCAATGTCATCGCATCAGTGGCGATGGAGCGGAGACGCATCACTAACCCCACAGTGTCAGGCAGTTCTTCTCAGAGACCTCTCCTGGGGTGGGAGTGGGGGGATTCCTGACTGCATTGTGGAGACTCTCAGGATGAGCCCATAGGAGACACAGCTAGAATGTCTTAGGGGAGATTTTAACAGAGAGAGAGGCACGTGGAGATGCCAGCGTAAGACTGGTGTAAGTGCAGACCTCTCAGGAGAGTCACACCTAAGCGTGTGCGTCTTCTGCTGTCCAAGTGCAGGGCACACACAGAATGCAGTCCCAGTGTCGGGCTCTCAGCCCACTCTGCACATGGACAAGTGAGGAGCCAGTGGTCCTTGGCAGCTTCCAAGCAGCGGGTGTGTCCCGGCAGAAGACGTGTGCTCCCTATGGCTGTCACGACGTCACTTGCAACGCAGTGACTTAGAGCAGCTGGGTTTACTCTCTTGCAGCTCAGAGGCTGTTGGCATGGCTGCATTCCTTCAGGATCCACCTCCTTCTTCACCAGGCTTCCATAGACCATTGCTTCCCTTCCTCTCTCACCCCCCCTCCCCCTCCCCATGACCCGGTCTACTCTGCTGGCCATATTCAGCCTGGACCCTTCCAGATGCTTCTGGCTGTTTTCTTCCTCACATCGACAATAAAAACCTCCTCAACCATCCTTAGGAGCGGTCATGTCCTCATTTTCATTCAAAGGTCAAATGAAGTCTCCCAGAGATGGGCACATTCCAGCCTGAAACTTGAATATGCGGCCTTGTATGGTAAACGGAAATGTGTGGTCACGCTAAGTTAAGGACACCGAGATGCACAATCACCCTGGATTCCCAGATGCGGCCAAGTTAATAGGATCCTTGGAGGGGGTGAGGCCCCAGGTGGCAGGAGGACACAGGTTCGCAGAGCAAGAGGTTGGAGTGGCGCCAGGCTGGCCTTAAACTCTTATCCTCCTGCTTCCAATGCCCGAGTTTTGGGACTCCAGGCCTGTGCCACCACACCTAGAGGTTTGGGACACGTACACCGCTGTCTTTAGATCTCTGTTGTCTGGATGTCTGTGCCTTCCTTCCCCTTCTGGTTTAGATGCTGAAATCAGATGTTGAAATCTTGAGCCCCAAGATTCTGATAGGAGATGCGGCTTTGGGGGAGATTTTGGGGGAGATAGCCAAGCTTAACTAAGCTCATGGACAACTCCCATCCGTGGTGTGACAGTTAATCTGATTAGCAGCTCCTGAGTGGGACAAGCCTTTGCGTGTGCACCTGACAGTGCTTCCGGACAGATTTTATGGAAGAGGGCGGTGCCATCCAATGGACTAGAACCCCAGACTGAATGAAAAGAGGAAAAGGGGACAGCCAGCCTTGGGCCAGCATTCCCTCCACTCCCCACTCACTTCCAGATCCACTGAAAAGTCCCACGCATGCTCCTGCTGCCACGGACCTCTGCCATGCCGTCCCCGCCATGACGGGCACCTTCTGAAACTGTGGCCCCAAAGAAATCCTTCTCTCTTAAGGATTTCTTTGATAAGATGCCGGGCATTTTGTCACAGAGAGACAAAGTAACAGACAGTGTGACTTGTGCCCTCACCTCCTCTGTTCTGAGGAATGGCCAGAGGCACTGCCTAGGAACCAGACACCAAATCTGCCTCATTTTGACTCAGGGCTTTCCTATTTGCCAAATGTGGAGAAACCTATTTCTGCTGCTTGTCAGCCTTTTAGCCTGTGTGTGGTAGTACAAAGGCCCAAGAGAGCTAAGGGGTCAGCTTTGAGCCCAGAATGTACTTACTGAAGAAATAAGCATGCGTGCAACATGGCAGCCATGTCTGGGGCTCAGCCGTTCCTATTTCTTCCCTCCTCTTTTGGTGGGAGCACATGAGTGGTGGCTGGTTCTGGACAATGCCAGGGAGCAGGGACAATGTACAAAGCATTTCGTAAGATGGGTTCAGGCAGCCTGGGTCGAGAGTCACTGCACGAAGGACAGCTGCCCTGGCCTGTCGACTGAATGCATCTGGTCGTGGAAACTTGGGGACTTTGGGCAAAGTTTGTTACTGTAGATGTTCCCCCCTATCCTAACCAAGACCAGTGGCTTCGTGGACGTGCCAGTGAGTCCCAACCCACAGTCCCTGTGTGTGAGTTGACAATTCCCTCTGCTTCGAGGTCTCTCGATCAATGCCCCAAACTGTATAACCACTCGAGCTTCCAATTCCACACTGTAAATTCAGAACAGCAGTGCCTGCTTGACCGAACTCTTGGGGCCTGTGGGCCAATGCACAGGATGACAATATGTCTCCACGTGTATATGCTACCTTCATCATCGCCACCATTATTGCCCTCCTCACCACCCTCATTATCACGGCTCTCAGCAGCTGCACCGTCACCATCGCCATGACCACTGCCATTGTCACTGCTGCCACCCCAAGCAGCGCCATGACCACCACCTCCGTCATGACCACCATTGTCACCTCCGCCGTCATCAGGAGGACCATGAGAGAGGAGGGTCATTTGTACTAACATCCAGTGTGCAAGCATGACCAAACTAATTTGATCAAATCTGATAAAAGCAAAAGCTAATCAGAGCAGTGATGTGTTGTTAATTAATGAGGCCAGGAGAAAATCTAGAAGGTCATTTGCACGCTGCTGATTTTCCTTCCTCAGGGATGGTCAGGGCTCCTCCTCCTTCTGCTTCCTCCCCCTTTCGACTCTGCACCCTTAGTGGACCATGGCCAACTGGAGTTCTTCCTGGGGTGAGTAAAAGAAGCTGGGAACTGGAAAGAGAGAGCCCATAATGAGATATTAAAAATACACTTCTCCATAGGTTAGCGGCTTCCCAAAGAGCCAGCTTCTTGGCCATACTTTAAGTAGTCAGCACAACCATGAGTGTGCCATAGACTCAGAACACCAGGGCTCCAGGATGCTCTGACGCACCTGCTGGGAGCACTGCCTGTAATGTGAACAATAAAAGATCCAGAGACTGATATTGGGGTTCAATCTTCAAGCTGAAGATCAGAGAAGCAAAGCAGCCAAGCCAGTAGCTCTTACCTCTACCCAGCTGAAATGCTATCCTGTCTCCATGGATCCTCACAGGCAAAAGCTCTGAATTCCTGTCTCCTCCTCCTTATATCCCTTTCTCTGCCCAGCCATATCCTCCTGTCTCCAGCTCCTAGTGCTGGGATTAAAGGTGTGTGATCCCTGGTGCTGAGATCACCTTTGTGTGAGCTGTTTCTTTTAGACTGGATCGATTTCATGTAGTCAGTGTGGCCTTGAACTAACAGAGATCCATCTGCCTCTTAGTCCTGAGTCCTGGGATTACAGGTGTGTGCCACCACTGCCTGACCGTTATGGCTTGTGGCTGACTTTGCTTTCTGAATGCTCGGGCTAGCTTTAATAAGTCATAAATGATGGGTGGCTACAGCTGTCACCTATTCACTGCCTCACTCAAGCATGGGGTGGCTGCTGAAAGACAGACACTATTCTGGGCAGCTCCAGGGAGGGGCTGACTGGCATCAGGGTATTCCCTATCCTGCTCTCCTGTGGGTTCAACAATAAACATACGACTCTATGGCTCTAAGAGCAACTCAGAGGCGACTCAAGAAAGTTCTCTCTTCCCCAGGACCAGAAAGAAAACGAAAACGAGTTTTAGCAGTCAGTGTCTAAAAATGCCACGAGAAAGATTTTCATCAGAGCTGGTAACAGTGAAGTGGAGGGAACTGTAGCGTTTGTTACGTAAGCTGTGGTGTGCTGATAAAACGCCAAGTCCTGCTGTTATTTAAAATGATAGGGCAATCATAAAGCGCGAAGAAAGGCTTACAGAACAGCACCAAGAGAAAGAAAAGCACCCATGAAACTCTACACATTGTGATGATGGCTGTGTGAACATTTGCAGCTTCTTAAAAACTACATTAGAAAACTATAACTAATAAATGAAAAGGGTCACTTTGTAAGGCCACCTGGATTATGAGTAGCTAGAAAATGTCTTTGAGGCTGCTCTGCAGTGGACTCTATGTCACATCTTTCAAAGAGCACTGTGCAGGCGGTGGTGGCCTTTAGTCCCAGCACTCGGGAGGCAGAGGCAGGCGGATTTCTGTGAGTTTGAGGCCAGCCTGATCTACAGAGTGAGTTCCAGGACAGGCTCCAAAGCCTGAGGCAGTGGGCTGCCATTTTCCAAGGTCAGCCAGGAAGGATGCTGTCTTAGTGACGGCTCCCATTGCTGTCAAGAGACACCACGACCACAGCAACTCTTACAAAGGAAAGCATTTAACTGGGGCTGGCTTACAGTTCAGAGGTTTAGTCCATTGTTGTCATGGCGGGAAGTGTGGTGACATGTGGTGACATGCGGGCAGACATGGCGCCGGAGAAGGAGCTGAGAGCTCTACATCCAGATCCACAGGAGACAGGAAGAGACCCTGAGCCACTAGGCCTGCTTTGATTTCACGTAGCCCAGGCTGGCCTTGAACTTCCTCTATAGGCAAGGCTAACCTTGATGTGATCCTCCTGCCTCCACTTCCCACGTGCGTGGATTACAGGCGTGCACCACCACATCTGTTTCACATGCTGCTGGGGATAACACCCAGGACTTCGTGCTTGCAAGGCAAGCACTCCACCGACTGAGCTCCATCTGCAGCCCCTCTCGTGGCGTCTTACGTCTTAATAGCATCGCAAAATCAACAACTCCTCTGAAGAAGGAGCCATTATTTAAGAATATGCGCGGCAGAAACAGTCTTCTGCACCTGCCCCCTCCATAGCCCATGCTCCGTCCTTGGACATTCTCACTTTTGAGCTCTTTTTTTTATACTGTTATGGTTTTTAAGAGCCGTTATGAGCAAACCTTGCTTGTCAGCACCACCGGAAAGGGCCAGTACTTACAAACACATTCCTAGCTGGACATGGTAGCACGTGCCTTTAATCCCAGAACTCAGGAAGCAAAGGCAGATGATCTATGTGTGTCCAGGCCAGCCTGGTCTGCATCTGGAGTTCCACAGTGAGACACTGTTCCCAAACAAACAGATGAGCCCCACACACCCCCAGGTGTCATTTCCAGAGCCAAACCAGGGTTTACTCCAGCCTCCCAGGATCTTTGGTTCTGCCTTTTCACCAATTCACCTGGTGATGGTGTTACCACCAGCCAGGGGAACCAAGGAGTGCAACACCCTGCTGGATGGGGATGGGAATCACCAGCAGGAGCAGCCTGAGGGTCAGGGAAGAGTTGACCCAAGAGAACCAAATACAGCTTGCTTCCTCCTCCTTCAAATGATCCATCAAACAAACTTGGGGAAAGCAACTGGACTTCTCTCTACAACTTCTTGGATGTTGGCCCGCACATCCCAGCCTCGATGGAAGCATCTGCAAACCTGATTTCAGCCAAAAGTAAGTGAACCAGCTTGCGCTGTGCCCAGCGAATGGCAAGCTGAATTTGGACAGCTGGTCCCACAGCTGATTAGCCCCAAATAAACACACAGATGTATATTAATTATGAAACTGTTGGCCGATGGCTTAGGCTCCTTATTGACTAGCTCTGTCTTAATTATTAACCCATTTCTATTAACCTATGTATTGCCAGGGGCTGTGGCTTACCTTTAATCCAGCATGCTACTCCTTCAGCAGCATGGTGTCTCTCTCTGCTTTCCTGTCCCCAGAATTCTCCTCATCTCCTAGCCCTGCCTATCTTCCTGCCTC